TATGAAAGCCTTCCAGTTTTATTGCTTCTTCTTGGCCTAATAACTAGTTGCGTTCATGATATCATATCCATGTAGGTATCAACATTGGGCCGAGACTAGGTCATACCAGCATCAGAGCCGATTCATGTTGCTGTGTTTCGTAATGTTGAAACCCCCATGTAATATTCTAGTTATTAAAATATAATCATGATTATTCAAATCAAAAGATATTGTACTACCAATGCAAATTTCAAGTTCAAACAAAATCTTGAATTTCCAAAAGAAAAATGTGATGCGGCATTTTTTAGAGGCAAAAGACATATATTGGTCTTTGAGTATGCACATCTAGATACCCCGCGACTCACATAAACTGAGACAAAGTGAGTAATTAATATAGATTACCTTATCATACACATTAAATCAATAGAATATACTAATATAGAGATTAGAATCATTTATATTATACGTACTAGTTCTGGAACAGGTGCAACGCACGTGTATACCATGCTAATTAGTATAAATACTTTTTAAAATATAAGTGTGATATGTGTAAAATACAAGCTCGAATCAATGAATGGTGAGCATATTCAACTTATTATCATTGGAAGACACATCATACTAAATATTGTTATCAAGTGAATTTCAAAAAAAATACTCAAACGACTTCAAATATGCAATTATTATAATATATCAAGTATTCAACTTGATAATAGTTCTTGTTTTAATAAGTCACAATACATATGGTTGCAAAATATTTAATGCCTTGAGGTTTCCACCTTCTTTTTAAGGAACAGTAGCCTCCACCTTTTAACAAACGCATACATATCAAGAAGTTATTGCAAAATATTTAATGCCTTGAGGTTTCCACCTTCTTGTTAAGGAACAATAGCCTCCACCTTTTAACAAACGCATACATATCGAGAAGTTGTTGTCGAATGAGAGTAGCGTTTTGTAATAGTTGTAGAGAAATTTGATCCTCATATGTCTCCCTTAGGATGGTTAGTAAATCATTATCAATTTCATAGTGAACACCTACAAAAATATATACTATTTATTTGTTATAAACATAATCGTGTGAGTATATAAATGACATATATATATAAATCATAATTACATGTATATGTACCTTTTGTCTTCTTAGGCTCATTCAATAATATAAGTTTACCACCATTCATATAATTAAACATCAAATCAACAAATCAATTTTTTATAAAACAAAAGCATTTTCATCAAAATAATAATAAAAAAAAAGAACAAGGAAAAGTATTACTTTACCATAGTTAAATTCAACTTCAACTGTTCATAAAATTAGATACACACTGTATGGGATTAAGGTATAAATAGGAGATATTAGGAGAGGTGAAAAGACTTATAGTAACTAATTTGAAATATAATATTTAATGTAAAATTATGTCCTTTTGGATTCTTAAATATAGAACATAAATAAGAAAAATAAAAAGAAATCAAAAAGTAAAAAGTTTGTAACTGATTTGACTATATTGTTTAATGAGGAATTATGTCTTCTTGATTTATTAACGTGAAGAGAATATGAGCAGATTTGGATGAGTAGTGCAACTATTTAATATTTAAATACTTAAATATATAATATTTTAATTTATCGTAGATGCAAAATGGTAATTCAACTTTGAAGATAGGACCTTACCAAGTTTTTATCCATTTAGATTAGATTAGATTCATATTTTTTATTAAATGTCTTTGCAATAAAAAAGTTTTTATATATATAGCACACCAACTTAATACATTAATCAACGTCAGAAGTTCAAAAGTTTTATCTACTCATTGATCAACGTAGAAAGCTCAAAAGTTTTACGAAGGTTGAAATATCAGAATATAACTTCTTAATTAATTCCCAAACAAACTTTCTAACTTATTGGAAGATGCACATTTATTATATTGTATTTATATTTGATATGATTGTTGTTTAGTATTTTAATTAATTAAATATAATATTTTAATTTAATGAAAGGGTAAAATGGTAATTCAACTTTTGCACTTCGAACCTTCCCACTTTTAGTATTATACGTATTAACCACGTTGGAATTGAAAATTGTAACCAAACATTGAATGCAAACTGACAAGATTAGGGTTATTTAAGAAAGTAAGTAGAGATTTTGATCTGAACAAAAGATTAATTCCATAATTGAGAAAGTAAATTTAAATATTCTTTTGTGATCTGTTAAGAGTAATTAATTTTTTAAAGATATATGACTAATCTTGTGGTGTCATACAATAGAAAATTAAAGTATTTAATTATCTCAAAATCTGTACTTCGTTTCTTAAAAAAACTCTAGACTTTGCAATTTTGTAAAGAAGGTATGCAGAAAATTTCTATTTTTCGAATTTACTCAAGTCTCTATTGTTGCACATTTCAGGATTGAAAAAGCAGGACAGTGATATGTCGTCTGATAAAAGAAAAATCGAGTGTGGTCTGATAACAACAAGGTCCTCCGATCCTTTTCAACGATCTCTTGTTCGTTCCTTCTCCTATCTTGTTCAAGATCTCATCCTTGTCTCCGTCTTTTATTATATATATATTGCCACCGGCCACTTAATTTTGTTACCTAGCATGGCCTATTTACTGGATTGCTCAAGGTTCTGTTTTCACTGGAATATAAATGACACTACTGATTTTATCCTCCACTCTGCACACTTAACACCATGTTTCTCATGGAAATATACTCATCGTCGTCACCAATCCAACACTAGTTCCCTTGAGCATGATGAAGTGTATGTGCCCAGGCTTAAATCCCAAGTAACGTGGCTCACCAAGTATTTGAACAAAAATCCACTACTAGGACGAGTATTCGGACATGCCACCACCCTCAATCTTGGGTGGCCTTTGTACTTGATCTTCAATGCCTCTAGCAAACCTTATCGTCGCTTTGCAAGTCACTATCATCCACAATATGGACCGATTTATAATGATTGTGAGAGGCTACAAATCTATATATATATTTCAGATACAGGTGTGAGTACAACAACTTATGTGTTGTAACGCGTTGCTTTGGCAAAAGGACTAACTTGGCTTGTATGTGTCTATGGAGTGCCCCTCCAAATTATGAACATTTTCATAGTGTTAATAACTTTTTTGCACCACACTCACTCTTTAGTACCACATTATTATTCGTCCAAGTGGGATTAACTAAGAGGAGCTCTAGCTACGGTAGATAGATACTTTGGTGTACTAAATAAGGTCTTCCACCACATTACAGATACTCATGTTTTGCATCATCTATTCTCAACGATGTCACATTACCATGCACTCGAGGCAACCAAAGCTACCAAACCAGTACTAGGAAATTACTACCAATTTGATAGTACCCTTGTTTATAAGGAAGGTATTATGGAGGGATTATAAGGAGTGCATCTATGTGGAAAAGGATGAAAGATCAAAAGATAGAGGTATTGTTTGGTATAAAAACAAGATGAATTAAAAATCGATTTGGTTAAATGTTAAGCATGAGTCACAATACGTATTTTGAATTTAGGTGTTGTTTCCTATCATTTTATTATGTATCGTTTTCATAACGTATTATATTTGTACTACATAATGTGGTTGAAATACAGTGTTCTGATAGACCATATTATTTATTTATTGTCGTTGAATCCCTCTTAATTTGAATTCATTGTGTGACATCCGTGTAGGTATTAACATTGGGTTGAATACAGTGTTCTGATAGACCATATTATTTATTTATTGTCGTTGAATCCCTCTTAATTTGAATTCATTGTGTGACATCCGTGTAGGTATTAACATTGGGTTGAGACTAGTGTTGGGACCGCGCGTACCACCACCCTAACTCCACATTAGTATTATTTTGTCCACTTTGGGTCAAGTCCTCACGGATTTGTTTTTGGGCACATCCCAAAAGGCCTCATACTAATGGAGTTGGGTGAGCACTTATATATTGGTACATTTCTTCTTCTCCATCCGATGTGGGATAGGTTTGTTACCCAACAACTAGTTCATAACAGTATCAGAGCCAGACCCACTGATTCTTGTTACAGTATTTCGTAATGTTGAAACATCTATGTTATGTTATCCACACTCTAGTTTCATGTCCTGATCGAGTGTGTTTGGGAAAAATATGAAGTCCCACGCTAGTTAAGGGTATGTGTTGTGGTCTCCTAACAAGGTTTTGTTAAGTGCAAATTTAATGTTTATCTTCAATATAATCATATGATTATAAAGATCAAAAGATATTGTATTACCTTTTTTTTTGTGTGTGTGCTTTAATATGACCCATAGGGCCGATTTTATTAATTACGCATAGGAAGAAAACATTTCAACACTGTCTGGCTGGCCCAGCAGTGGCCAACCACCAAAATCTAATCAATAAACAACAGTATGGGGACTCTACAAATTAAACAACTAGATAAAGTTATAATAATGTCAAATTTATTATCTTGAATGTAGACTGGATGGGTAAAGATGACTTAGTAATTATTTCATGACAGATGTTGGTGATCACAACACTGAGTTTCACCATGGAAGTGAACTCAATTCAGATCTCAAAGAGAATGGACAAAAGGTGAGGGACAAAGTCGGATTATCTCTCATTTTTTATTCTCTTTCCTGTTTCTTGAAATCATCTCAACCTTTGATCACAATCAGATCTTATTTTCATCAAACTCATCTTGATCGTTCATTTCGGAATCATGACAGCTGTCCAAAGAACATTTCAGATGTATTCCATTATATATGTAGATAATTGTTTTTTATTTATTTTTATACATTTTACAATTAGTCAATTAGAGAGAAACAAAAATAAGAGAAGGACAACTGGTAGTATAGTAACAGATTTATTCCTTTTGTTTTGTATAAATGCACATGTACAGTTTGAATGAAATTTTTCTCTATTGCTTTCTTTCTCTTCCAATAATATGTAACAAATATGGAATCTGTACCTACTTTCTTCAATAAACTCTAGACTAGAAAATTTTGTAAAAAAGTATTTTCCTAAAGAAAGTTTCAATTTTATATCAAGTTGTTGAAGTAGTAGTTGAAAAAGCAGGACAACAATATGTCGTCTGATAAAACAGAACAGAAGAAAAATGGAGTGTCGTTTTCAAAGCCTCCTTTTACAATTGGCGATATCAAGAAGGTCATTCCTCCTCACTGCTTTCAGCGATCTCTTGTTCGTTCCTTCTCATATCTTGTTCAAGATTTCATCATTGTCTCCGTATTTTATTATATTGCCACCACTTACTTCCACCCCCTTACGTCTCCGTGTTGTTACCTAGCATGGCCTATTTACTGGATAGCTCAAGGTTGTGTTTTAACTGGAATATGGATGATTGGCCATGAATTAGGCCACCAGGCCTTCAGTGATTACCCCTGGATAAATGACACTATTGGTCTTATCCTCCACTCTGCACTTTTAACACCATACTTCTCATGGAAATATACTCATCGTCGTCACCACTCCAACACTAGTTCCCTTGAGTATGATGAAGTTTATGTGCCAAGGCTAAAATCCCAAGTAACATGGCTCACCAAGTATTTGAACAAAAATCCACTAGGACGAGTATTCGGACTTGCCACCACCCTCAATCTTGGGTGGCCTTTGTACTTGACCTTCAATGCCTCTGGCAGACCTTATCCTCGCTTTGCAAGTCACTATCATCCACATGGACCGATTTATTATGATCGCGAGAGGCTACAAATCTATACTTCAGATGCAGGTGTGATTGCAACTACTTATGTGTTGTATCGCATTGCTTTGGCACAAGGGCTAACTTGGCTTGTATGTATCTATGGAGTGCCCCTCCAAATTATGAACATCTTCATAGTGTTAATCACTCTCTTGAACCATACTCACTCTTCCGTGCCACATTATGATTTATCCGAGTGGGATTGGCTAAGAGGAGCACTAGCTACGGTAGACAGAGACTTTGGTGTACTAAATAAGGTGTTCCACAATATTACAGATACTCACGTGTTGCATCATCTGTTCTCAACGATTCCACATTACCACGGACTCGAGGCAACCAGAGCTATCAAGCCATTACTAGGAGAATACTACCAATTTGATAGTACCCCTTTTTATAAGGCATTATGGAGGGATTATAAGGAGTGCATCTATGTAGAAAAGGATGAAAGATCTCAAGATAGAGGTATTTTTTGGTATAAAAACGAGATGAATTAAAAAATCGATTTGGATAACATGAGTCACAATAAGTATTTTGAACTGAGGTCTCTTAAGGATTGTTGTTTGCTATCATTCTATTATGTATTGTTTTCATACCGTATTGTATTTGTACTACATTATGTGATTGAAATACAATGTTTTGAGTGAACGTTTGAAAAATCAACTTGAAGTATATTAAGAGGCTTGCCCAATAATGTAGGATCATGAGTAAATAGCATCATTGTATGTATGGGGTTATTAAAGTTTTAATAATGAAGGAATCTAAACCACATGGAGCCATCAAGAATACATATGGCCTCTTTAGTTTACTACGAATTTATTTTCAGATCTAATCAACCTCCAAATTAGGTCTCGAGTTTGAGCTATGAGAATAGAGAAATTCTTGATAAGGAGCGCTTCTAAGTTAAATGGATGGTAGTGAGCCTGGGAATATAACTAGACTAGTCAAAACTCAGTTCCGAATATCAGATGGTAAATTAAAAAAGAAAAAAAAGTTGGCCAGACCTCTATTTTTCTATAAAGAAGAGAGAACTCTCTAGCTTTCAGGTAAGGCTAAAAGGTGTGTTTTGAACTTTTGAGGTATTTCCCTTTTTACCAAAAACTCTCATTTTCTTGTTCTATTTACTACTATTTTTCTACTTCTCACAACAAATTTAATTGTTGCAGAGTCAGGTTTGAAGACAAAAATGGGAGGCGGTGGCAATATGTTTGCTCCAACAGCTAAAACAGAACAAAAGAAAAATCCTCTCGAAAGAGTGCCAAGTTCAAAGCCCCCTTTTACAGTTGGTGATATCAAGAAGGCTATCCCTCCTCACTGCTTTCAACGATCTCTCATTCGCTCAATCTCCTATCTTGTTCAAGATCTCATGCTTGTCTCCGTCTTTTATTATATTGCCTCCTCTTACTTCCACCTCCTTCCATCCCCGTATTATTACCTAGCGTGGCCTATTTACTGGATTTTTCAAGGTTGTGTTTGCACCGGAATATGGGTCATTGCCCATGAATGTGGCCATCAGGCCTTTAGTGATTACCAGTGGATAAATGACACTGTCGGTTTTATCTTCCACTCTGCACTTTTAACACCATACTTCTCATGGAAATATAGTCATCGTCGTCACCACTCCAACACTAATTCCCTTGAGCATGATGAAAATCATGTGCCTAAGTTTAAAACCAAACTTAGATGGTACACCAAATTATACATGAATAATCCACTAGGACGATTACTCATACTTGCCTTCACCCTCACTGCTGGCTTGCCTTTGTACTATGCCATCAATATAGCTGGTAGACCTTATGATCGCTTTGCAAGTCATTATGATCCATATAGCCCGATATATAATGATCGTGAGAGACTACAAATCTACATTTCAGATGCAGGTCTGATTGCAACTATTTATGTATTGTATCGCATTACTCTGACACAAGGGCTAACTTGGGTTGTATGCATCTATGGGGTGCCCTTACTAATAGTGAACGGGTTCATCGTGTTAATAACTTTATTACACCACACACACGCTTCATTGCCACATTATGATTCATCGGAGTGGGATTGGCTAAGAGGAGCACTAGCTACGGTAGACAGAGACTATGGTGTGCTAACTAAGGTGTTCCACAATATTACAGATACACATGTTGTGCATCATTTATTCTCAAGTATGCCACATTACCACGCGATGGAGGCAACTAAAGCTGTGAGGCCATTACTAGGAGCATACTATCAATTTGATGGAACTCCATTTTACAAAGCAATATGGAGGGATTTTGAGTGCATCTACGTCGATAAAGACAATGAAGCATCTCAGGGAAAGGGTATTTTCTGGTATAAAAACAACTCCTAAATTTGAAATACTAGCAATAAAAGGCTAAATGTTCAGCCTAAGTATTTTGGATTGTGTCTTTCATAATACTATTGTATTTGTATTGTTATTTAAGATTTATTGTTCAGCATCTATGAATATGTCTTTTTTATATGAATGTAAACAAGCAACAAGAGGGGGTTGTTAAGGCGGTAAACACCCAAGGGAGCAAAAAGGGGGAAACTGCAAAAAAAACAATTTATGTAAATACTTTGTTAAGAATCGCAACCATGAGGCATAATCCATCATATCAAGCCAGAAATGAGTGATACAAATTAAACTTCTAAGATACATATATACAGAGACGGATCCAGGATTTAGAGTCTCTGGGTGCCAAACAGATTCATCGCCTAAATTAACTTTATGTTTGATTCGAATTACTCGTCTTTTCGATTTATATGAAAAATCAATCAATAAAATAGGAATACACAACATGTATAATTTTTTTAGTAAGTGTTTGTAGGCTATTAACGAAAAATTTATGGTGGTTCATAATGTTCATTTGTCAAAAATCAAATAAAGATAAATATATTAATATTAATTTATATTTAAAGTCAAATAATAACGTATTTAAAAAAGAGGATTACCCAAGACTTAAAAGCAACTTTGAATTTTATTCATTTCCATCAGGGTCGAATTGTTAAATTAATTTGTCTTTTTTATTCTACAAATGGAGCACAAATTACATTATTTTCTCTTCTAAATATCTAATTACTACTAACACCTTATTAAGTCCAATCTTTTTGTGTTTTTAGAGATTTGTATGCATGTAGAAAATTTCTTGTGTTCGATAAATAAAATACACAGAGTATCGGATTAATTGTGACAAGTCTAAATGGATGATTTATTTTGCATGTGAAACTCTACCTAAACTGAATGAATACATACTACAACAAAGAGACATTTAGTGGCAGCATACTTTACCTTTAGTGATAATATTTATTGCTGCAAGAATATTTAGTTTTAATTGAGTTAATGTCATTATTAAAGTCTTTAGCAACATTTATCTAGAGTGCTGGTTATAAAACTCATACTATTATTAACGCTAAATGTAATGTAGAGATAGTTATATTATTATCGTTATAATTGTTGCCCGCAAAAATATTGTTTTAACAGTGTACAAGACTATATTTTTAAAGTTTAAACAACTCACCCCTTCACTAAATTATAATTCTTGAATCTTTTTTTTAATTATATAAATCAAACATATTTTAGTTTTAGGAATTTTAAACAATATCCTCCTCCCAATTTTAATAATTAAATGACAAACCTATTTCATTGTTTAATATAGCATGGGTAATAAATAATTCATATGCAAAAATAAAATAATATAATCTTTGTCCTCAACTCGAAAACGTATTTTTTATGATGTCTAGGCGTGCACTGGACGGGAACAACATGAAATAATTATTTTTATCAATATATTACTCTCCTAAATTATTAACCTATAATCACCACCACGTGAATTCTGTCGAGTACTTAGAACTAGTATTAGCACCTCATATATAGAAATATAATATAATAATAACTAAAGTTAAACGATTAAAAAAAAATATTTTAAAAAACGCACATGTCATATAATTATTAAAAGATAAATACTTTGGCATACCAGCTTAAGAGAACCACTAAACAAGTCAATCATGTGAAGTTGAAGCATCTGGTTGCTCAATGGATAAGTTAAAATTAAGTATTACTATATTTTAATTAAACTGACAGTTTAAAGTTTAGTTTAAGTATATATCTCTATATATTTTGCCATTGTAGGAGCTCTGACTTTATTCCATTTTTGGATATTATACAATATTAAGGGTCATTTGGTTTAGAGAAGTTTTTCGTAAATAGTGATATTTTGCACTTATGGAAAATAGCAAGGTTTTATTTAATTACAAAACGTGTAGTAATAATTTGGTAGCAAAATATTGCGGAATACATTGAATTTATATTAAACACTCTATCTGTGAGCTCACATAATAATGACACGATGGTATAATCTTTGTTTATATCAACATATATAATTTAAACTCTGTTTTATAATATTATTTATTACATTAATAGGTAATTACTTATAATAAACATGGTTATAATAATGATGGAACTGGAATCTAAAGCACATGGACAATTATCAATTATTATTTTGTCCCCAGATCTGAATCTGTACTTTATTACTCCTATTTCTTAAATAACTCTACCTACCTTGTCATTTATTGATCTCCCATTTAATGAACCAATAAAATTAGGCAAGCCAGTAGCAAATACACATTGGTATATGGAGTACAAAACATTTTCCTGTTTTTGGTTGTTTTATTTTTATTTTTAATATATTTTTTGAAATGTCTCTTCTCTTTTTCGATAACTTTTTTATTTTAATTTTTCTTTCATGTCATGTTTAAAATCATATGATTAAAGGACATTTTGATATATTAAACATATATTTTACTTAAGACTACAAGATTCAATTTTATTTTATTTTACTTTCGTAAACTCTATGTCAAGTTAAATTGGCCAAACAAATAAAAACGGAGAGAGTATAAAATAATAATGGTACAACAAATTGTTGGAAGTGTTATTTTATTTATGAACTATTTATTTCACGTTTGTTGGTCTTTTGTTTAGTTGAATTATTCAACTCCTAGTTATTAGGAAGTAGACGTGTTTTCAGTTTAGATAGCAGAGTTTGTTAGGAGTCCTAGTAGTAGTGGGTTTGTGGGTTTAGTGCTTATACAGAAAATCTCTGTAAAAGTCTATATAATAGACTTTTCTTGTTGCTATTGATATAAGAGAGTTACGCAGTTTCTTGTTTTCTTCTTTTGAGTTTTTTCTGGTCAGCTATATTCATTGTTCTGCTTGGCATATCTTATCAGTGGTATCAGAGCAAGGTTAGATCCGAACACCTGTGAGGTAGAGTTTGCCCAGAAATTTTATTTTTTCTATGGCTTCAGAGAGCAACTTTGTGCAAGCAGCCATTCCTCGTTTTGATGGTCATTATGACCATTGGAGTATGCTGATGGAAAACTTTCTAAGGTCAAAGGAGTATTGGCCAATTGTGGAAGACGGTATTGGTGTTCCAGCAGAAGGCGAAGTTTTGACAAATGCTCAAAAAACGGAGTTCGAAGCAAGAAAATTGAAAGATTTGAAAGCAAAAAATTATCTCTTTCAGGCTATTGAGCGTCCTATCTTGGAAACTATTCTTTGCAAAGAAACTTCCAAGGATATATGGGACTCAATGAAAAAGAAGTATCAAGGCACTACAAGGAGTGAAGCGTGCACAACTTCAAGCCTTGAGAAGGGATTTCGAGACGTTGCAGATGAAGGAGGAGAGTCTGTAATGAGTTACTGCGCTAGAACAATG